TTATACAAACTCTGTAATTTTGTTCTTTCTCTCCAACCCTAATATTTCTGTAACAGTAAGTAGTACCCATATGTTAAGTAGAATAGACTTACCTCTTTGCACACAAATGGGCAGTTCTTGCATTCGTTTGTAAGCAAGCTTGTCAATAGATTTCCCAAGCTCATGCACCCTCTCTTTTTCTCTATGTAACTTCTGCTCAGTATTAACCCTGTCTGTTTCAAGCCGACCAAGTAGAGTTAAAACTTCATCTACAATATCTTGCTCAGGCCCTGTTACTGTTTCTTCATGTTGATCAGTTTTTGCTGAGGATGATTTGGGAGTTAGAGATTTTGCTAGTGAAGTGCCTGCACTGATTCCTCTGACCTGAAGCAAAACAAAAAACATATTTATGTTTTGAGCTACCTGTGGTACCATCGGGTTCACTCTGACTAATAAAGTTGTTATTATTCGGAGGCTAGCTGGACAGAGGACAATACACAGGGAAATAGAACATGCATTGCTGCATATATTGCGAAAAGTAAACATACCTCCAGCACTGCTCCACTTGCAGAAGATTCCAACATTCTGTCTAGCTCATCTTCCTTTGAATAATCTCCAAAAGAGTCTGAACTAAGCAGCCATCTTAGTTTATTCCCATGGCTGTTATATCCTTCAACAGACTCAACATCATGATATGTGGCACTTGATCTTAAACGGCTTCCATCTTCAACTTCAGATAATGATTGAGCAGAAGTGATAGTTTCACTCCTAGATTTCAGTTTTCTTTCTCGACTCAACTCAACTCTAGTATATTTCTCAGAGGAGGTGGGCTTATAATAGTTTTCAAGGAGGTTTTGAAGTAGATGAAGGTGAGAGACTGCTTTACGCACACATGAAGAAGTACTTTTAACCAGTTCGCAACTTCTGCGGCGCCATAGCTYGTTTTTAAATTCTGGCCACCCTTCTGGTAAGGCTGGAACAATATCTTTAAACAAAAATAATATTGACAAGTTATTTAAACTATAAAACAACAATTAAAAATGACATTGTAAAAATAACAAACTACATCAACAATGCTCTTTTTATCTCAGGCAATTGCTTCTGTTATTTTCAACATATAATCGTAGCTAACCTCTTTGTTCTTGATCATCAATTTCTGCGTCATTCCTCTCTACTAATTGTTTATCAATGTTTACAGGGACAAGTTCTCTAGATCCCGAAACTCTTTCTGGTGTCAAAACATGTTCATTCCTATCAGGAACAATCCCCAAACCAGAAGTCTCTCCACTACCCCTTGATACCGGCTTATTCAACCTTGATACCGGCTTATTCAAAGTACTAGTGAGATTTCCAGCCTTCCTGGCGCCGTTTTTTCCGACATTTTTGTCACCTTCGTTGACTTTTTGAGCTTCTTTATCTAAAGCTGGTTCTGGGCTTACGTTCGCGCCATCTTGATAATTCCCCACTTTTTGCCCGTTTTGATGGGACTTCACTCCTTCTCTTACAACTGTAGGCATCTGTTTTACGATATTTTACAGCTTTTCCAACCTAATTTTGTTAGGTTTTCATAATTTCCTTGAGAAAAGTTGACTTTTACACCAACTTCAGGAGGCAGCCATCTTGTTTTAGAGCGTTGCTAAGCAACGTAAAGTTGACATTTTCCGAGTCCGCCAAAGCGAGGCTACTGTGTGAAGTCCACAGGCAGCCCAAGCAAGTCAAGGACGGTCAAGATAAATCATGCATCTCATGCATAATATTCAACTTGCTCTTCTAACAATTATATTTGGCTTTTTTTAATCGCTGTTACAGCAGGGAACAGTGTTAAAAACTAAATGCCCAGCAGTCTTTAATACTTTAATAATAAACTACTCAAACATCCTATTTTTTTCTCCATTTCTTTATGAACTGGCGTCGAAAGCTTGAATTGGAGCCCTGACAATTGACGAAAAAAATGTATATTTCTAGTACAACCTTTTTCTAGTACAGCTTTTTGGATTTTAGGCGTTGCTAAGCAACTAAAGCTGGAAACACTGGAAGTCCATCGACGCGCTCAGGAGTTACGTCATGATCATGACGTCATCGGCGCATCGAAATCAAAAAGGAAGATGGGAGGCCATCACTCGCAGTTTACTGAAGAAGAACTCAAAGATTACCAGGTAAAAACACCTTTAGAATCCCAATAAATACCCTGATCAGGTTAAGAGGGTACAAAAGATTATACATGGAGTTTTTTTTGCCAACATTTGCTCAAATGCGGTATGATTTTATGTTTATTCAGGAGCTGACGTTTTTCACCCAAAAAGAAATTTTACAGTAAGTTTTGATGAATTGCTTGATTTATTTCATCATTATTTCCTGAAGTAGTTGATATATCAAGTCCAATATTATTGAAAGTCATTTTTAATCTATTAAGTATTGATTTTGGACTTGAAGTTTGTGAGAGGATTTGAGTAAAAATTCGCTTCAAAACGCACACGCAACATCATTCTGCATGAGAAACCCTATTATGTTTGAAATTTCAAATGTTTTGAAGGTTTTACTTTAGATCGCTATGATTTCGAATAACTAGCCTGCAATGTTTTCCCAAGCGTTTATCATTTTTCATGAATATTCCTACTCAATGTACTGTATCAGTGAAGACGTCAACAATTCAAACTTTATTATTTTTGTATTATTTTCAACAGCTTATTTCTATCTTTTGATTGTATTGTTTTCTATTTGTAGTTGTCATAGACGATTTACGCAGGTAGATCCAGTGGCAGTAAAGCAAAATAAAAATGCTAAAATCGACCAAAGAAAGATTCTAGCAACATTACCAGAGCTAAGAGTAAGTACTTACAATTTTGTTTGTATTTATTATAATGTCGTTATTGTTTATTTAACATTCCAATATGTGTTGAAAGTTGTCCTGGACAACTTGATGGAAGATATTAAAAGCCCTTGCAATTCTTTCATAAGATTTACAATCAAATCAAGCGAGGCATTGCATAAAATTTTTTGAAATTTTCATGGTACATGGGTAAAAGCACCCAATAATTAATATATATATTTTGTAATAATAAGTAATCTGTGAATCAATTTTCCGTAAAATAGTGCTCAATACATCGATAGAAGTAGAGCAGAATATTTGTTTGAGAAGAAAAAGTCAAGACAACATTTTTCCCGACAAGCCTGTTTCGTGAATTGCTTCACTCTTCAGGGGATTTAATTAAATTTAATTAAATCCCCTGAAGAGTGAAGCAATTCACGAAACAGGCTTGTCGGGAAAAATGTTGTCTTGACTTTTTCTTCTCAAACAAATATTTTGTAATAATATATATATATTTCGCTATAATTAAACCTGTACTGTAAGCATCATAATTTCATAATTGAATTGGAATTTATAATAAGTTAAAGTTTGTGGAGGAACGAAAACCAGAGAACCCAGTTGAGGCTAGAAGTATAGGAAAAACGCCAGCATTAAGCTCTACCAACAGGATTATATTTGTGTGTGTTCCAGCTCAAGTATTGAGTTCAAAATCACATGCTGGGAGAGGCATGTTTATTGCATGTTTTAATAGCTTCTTCTGCATGTTACAAATTTGAAAAGAATTGAAAATGCAAATTATGAGGTCCTAAAGTTTTAAAACATCTAAAGTCCTAAAACATCTGGTTGGACTATGAGTGTCCTTCTCAAAATTATCTTGGATGCTAGGCTAACATGAAAAAATGCAAAAGAAATCAGAATTTTTTCAATGGAATTTGTGCTATATCTTTTGTATTTCCAAAAAGATATAACTAGCTAAAAACTAGTGTGAGTGTTTTGTATTTCCATGTTAGCCTTGCATTGACAATAATTTTGAGAAGGATCCATTGTATTAAAAAGATTTTTGAACCTCTGGAGTAATTTTTTTCATCCATGTATGTTCATTTTGGCTTAATAGTAATATATTGGATTCCCCATACCTTCTACTCATAGCTATGTTGTTTTTAATACTGTTTTCATATATACTTAGGTCAATCCATTTAAAGACAGGATATGTAAAGTCTTCTCATCTTCTAAAGATGGTAACCTTACCTTTGAGGACTTCTTGGACATGATGTCAGTATTCAGTGAAAATGTAAGCAGGATCTTACAGCTTGTATCTCTTCTTACACTTCTTTTGTGCTTATGTCACTTCTTATGTGCTTTATTACTGAACAAAGCACGGAAAAAGCTGTTTCATTTCTTAAATTGAACCCAAGATTTTAGTCATTAATAATTACATAGCAGTGAGAGACAGGGCCACAGCAGCACACTCTACCTAATACACACTCCTGATTCACAAGACATTTTCTGTGTTGAGATAATTTCAATGCGTAGTTAATTAAAACCAGTGACAGTCTTGCATTATTGTTATGACTTCATGATACATTTTGTATATAGTAAAAATTTTTATTTTCATCAGGCTCCCAAAAGTGTCAAAGTGGAATATGCTTTCAGAATTTATGGTAAGTCCCTAATAGTATGGTAATGTTGTTTTTTTGGGATCTTTTTACGTCTCTCTTTTCACTGGAGTATAAAAAAGAAAAATTGTTTTTTTTTGTTTCTTCAGACTTCAATGAAGATGATTACATATGTGAGAATGATTTGAAGAAAGTAATCCAAAGACTTTGTGGACAACAACGACTTTCAAATGAAAACATGCAGGCATTGATTGAAAAGGTACTTATAATATTCATCTTTAATTTAAGGATAATGATTGTGTTATTCATATTCAGATGATGACGATGAGATTCACTCTCATTTTAACTTTGGTGATACTAGAAGGAAACTACTAGGTAAAATGGATAAAATTTATGATTATCAAAATTTGATTAGATCTTTGAAGAGGCTGATCTTGATGAAGATAACCAGCTATCGTTCGCAGAATTCGAGCATGTGATCTCGAAGGCACCAGATTTCGTGAAGTAAGTATCAGAAAATGTTTTATGATATTTGCCTATAACCGTATAGGGATCATGCCATTCACTTCTTTGGTTAACGCAAGTTAGTTGTACCTAAAATCTGAGCAATATAGACAAAGTAATATGGCATTCAAATTTTGCAAATGTAAGGGTGGTTTAGCAGTAAAACATACACATTTCACCACTGGGTTGGGTCGTAGGTTTGATTCCTGCAGATGCCACATATGAATAAAAATGTGAGATGTGTTGTTCTCTCTCATGCCACAAGGGTTTTTTCTTCAGATACTTTGGTTTTTCTGCTTCCCCAATCCCCATAAGAATGTGTGCTTAGGATCATAAATGTAATAGTAGTGAGTGTGCAGTACACTTAAACATTAGGCTCTGGTTACAGGAAGACTCAGTACGACTCCCTTTTATTATTCCAGTATAATATTAGTCAATTATTTATGTATACAATGTCATGCTAATAAGTTTAATGTTTTTCTTTCTATTTCCAATAGCTCCTTCAGAATCAGGATGTGAATAGCAGAATATTTATTTTTGTAGGGACACATTTATTATCTTGCACATGTCATGGGATTAATATTTATTAGAAAATGATAATACCAATTAGTAATAATTAGATTGCAGTGAAAATGCTATCAGCTGTTGCATGTTGTTACTGATGCGGAATTTAGCACATAATATACAATAGATCCATTGCATTACTGTGGTTTTCAATATTCTGCAAACTCGGTAGTAGCATGCTGCAAGTTGAAATTTGGTTTTTCACTGCCGTCAATCAAAAATAATCAGTCTGTACCTATTCTTGACTGGTGGCAGTAAAAAAATTCACAACAAGCCATTAAAAAGTTGAAGTTGTCAGAATATTAAAAACCACAGTAATGCTGGTCCTTATTATTTACCAGTGAGCTGTTTGTTTGTCATTGGTGTTTTTAAGAGGGGAGGGGTGGGGTGCTCAATTAAATAATGGAATATTGTGGTTCCTGTAGTCTGGGTTGCCTCTCCCTGGCACCAAAACAACTATGCTAGTAGTAAAGCAATACAAGCTAGCCAAGATATCCATTCAAAGGTTTCTTATACGATGTAATAAACAAGGCTTTGCATGATAAGTGGGGTTTGAAACTCTCAGCTATCTATAACTTTTGGTAAATTATTATGCTCTCAAAAAAAGTATTCAATAATTGTAAAATCGTCTCTCACACTCAAATATTATTATTATGATGGATGTGGGAACTTTTGTAGAAATATTTTTATAGTTCATGTAAAGAGTATATCGATGGTTTGATGGAAATTCAAAATGCACTGTACAGTATATGTTTGTAGTATGTTTGGTGATACAAAACACTAAGGCAAAACAATTGAAAGTATCCTTGCAACTTATTATGATAGTTTGTGAAATAAAAAAAAAGACATTCAAAGTTTGTAAAAATATTTGCTTAAAATTTCAAATCCAAGAAAAAACTTGGATGGTAAAGTACAACCTTATTTTAGTCTATTGGTGGAGTGAAGAAATTGGATATTTCGAATTGGGGGTGGCCAGAAAAAAATGGAAAAAAGAAAAAGGAAAAAGGGAGACACCGAAAGAAAGAAAAAGCATGAATGCATAAACAGAGGGGCAGCCACAAATTTCTGATTGGTCCGGTTTTGAGGGTTTTGGGTTTTCTTACATTTTTCAAAAATTTYCTTATATTTTCCCCCCGAAAGTTGGTCTGTACTGTACCGCTGGCTACGTCCCTGATAGAAGATCTGGGACCAACCGGAAGTAAACCAGGTGATGGGTTTCCTGTGGAACTAAACGGAGTGTAAACTGGGAAGCTTTACACATGCTAGTCATGTGTTTTGAAGCTGAAAGAATCAGCAGAGCAACGATGTGGAAGATTTGTGTTGTTGTTGGCTTCATAGCCTCTAGCTTTGCTGTTGCCAAACCTACCATCTCTAAAGAGCCCCCAGTATGGCCAAAAGCGTATACTGTAACTGGAGTCCTGTATTTACCATACGCGGAGATCAAGGAACCCTTTCAAGCTTGGTACGATGCTGGGAATAAGAGGAGTAGGATCGACTATTATGGAGGTAATTATGACATCATTCGGACCACTCAAATAAAATTCTGGGGTTTTTTTAGCTTTGATGCAAGATAATAAAAATTAAAATAAATAAATAAATAAATAGAATAAAGAGTTTTAGCGTTGTGTGTCGAGAACGTAAAATATTTTGTCCTTTGTTGTGAAACTTAATTGATTTGCATGGACATTAATTATGTAATGAACATTTTAAAAACTCCAATAAAAAAAGGGGGTTGCACATTTTTTAAGCTTATGAAGTTTTTTAAAGTAATATGATTCCTTAGTCAGACCAATTTTTAGTGTTATGTGCACTGGAGAACTGTTATGAATGAGAAACRTATAGCACGGAGGATGGAGGTAGATGTTGAGGGGGGAGGGATGTATACCACAACATTGAAATGGGTTGTCACAAGAGAGCATAAACAAGAGAGGGAAGCTTCTTATTGTGGTGCGTGTCACAATAAGAAGTTTCCCTCTTATTTATGCTCTCTTGTTTGTCATTGTTTTCGTACAAATTATCCAATAGAGTTTTCTGGCTTATATCCTTTCTTAGGTATGGATTCAACATACCAAAGAGGAGATGTACTGTCATATGGTTCCTCCTATAGGATTTGTCCAGAGACGACAGAAACATACAAAAATGTTAGAAAATGCTTCCAAACTAATGGAACTACAGCAGGTCCAGTAGTACAACAATCTGTGCTTCCAGACTTAAGCAAATTTACAGTAAGTTGCACATATACTAGTACAACAGACAGGGAAATCAGGCAATAAACTGCTGTCAATCAAAAGAAATTGTTCAGTACCCTTACATATATACACTATTGACGGCAGTGTATTGCAGGATTTCGCTGATATTATATAGCAATGAATACAATTATGGTAAATTCTAAAATATTTTTGTCAACCAGTTTATGGGTAACACAACTTACGGAGAGGTTAGTTGCTTGGCCTGGGAGTACATTATGTATGAAGGTCACAAGAAAAACAAGTACACAATGCATGTGTCAATGGATGACACCCTTACACCCATCCATTACGAGATGCTTGGCTTTGATTCTCTCTTGGGTTCACATTATGATAAATATGAAATAGTTTATGCAGACTACAGTGCTGAAACACCATCACCAAATGTGTTTGAAATTCCAGAAGGTATATGATTTATGTTATAAAATTTTATGATTGCTAAATAATTGTTTATTGATTCAATTAGATGTTAAGGTTTAATTTGATCACTCACCACTGAAAATTATAATTATCAGCGAAGAGGAGACTAGAGAATGTTACAATATTGTGTTGAATATAAGTGCCTAAAGTTACACTTGCAGAACATGAGCTTCCATAATCAACAGTCAAACAAAGAATATATATACATTGTCTGCCTCCAACTTGGCACAATATCTGAGTAGAAAGTGCTGCTTTTCTAAATATATCTGCAAATTGTTAGATCTCCTCAGTGGCTCATGACCATGTAAAATGGTGGTTCTGTCTCATTCAGAGATGTTAAACATAGAGGACCATGAGTTTATCAGTGGCAACTGTCACGTGTCACCCTCTCTAAATAAAGATGATTATTAACTATTACTATTCTGTAATTAGAAACTTTTTATTATTATTAGGTATGGTGTGCACTGGATTTCCTGGACCAGGTGATGAGGCTACCATTATCGCAAACCCTATGCAGGAATTCATTGAACCAGAGGGAAGGAATATTATGCACAGTGTTTTTGATAACTTTCTTAAAAACCATCCCAAGGATTATGCTGATAAACGGGAATATCATCATCGTCGTGAAACATTTAGGCAAAACTTGAGGTATACCATATTTATTTTGCAAACAGAATAGAGAAAAAGGTCAAATAATAAAAAGATTGCATTTTGTTTTAGATTTATTCATTCCAAAAATCGTCAACATGCTGGCTTCTACCTTGCAATGAATCACCTTGGTGACAGAACTGATAAAGAATTGAAGGTTTTGAGAGGAAGAAGGACAAGTAAAGGATACAATGGGGGTTTGCCCTACAAACCCGACTTGTCAAAACTAAAGGATGTTCCAGATCATATAGATTGGAATATTAGAGGTATGAAATGATAAAGCTTAATCCTGGTTCGTGCTGAGGTATCCACTTAAAATGCAAGGACTATTCAAGGGGTATTCAAGTGCCCAAAAATGATTTTTCAAGGAGTGTATGACCGACTTTCCAAGTCATTTCCAGTACCCCTTCATCAAAGGGAAGTAGCGCCTGGTTGATATTGTATTTCACATAAACATTTTCAGATGACTAGATCTATTTCAGAGCCATAAGAGTAATGATCAAAGCAGAATTTCAAGGAGTTTTCAAGGAGTTTTTCTAAATTGGTAAAATTCAAGAGTTTTTCAAGTGTGCTTGAAAACGTGAATTAAATTCAAGGAGTTTTCAAGGAGTTCAAGGAGTAGCACGGACCCTGTTTATATATCAAATAGTTCTGTAGTAGAGTCCAGAAAATATGGGTTTCATTCAACCCAAAGGTCAGAAAATGTTTGACATCAAATTTTAATAGCACAAGACTTCTTGATCAACCTAAAGGGGGTAGTGATATTATTACCTTTTAACATTTATATAGGAGCAGTAACCCCTGTCAAAGACCAAGCTGTGTGTGGCTCATGTTGGAGTTTTGGTTCTACTGGTGCCATTGAAGGAGCTCTTTTTATGAAGGTAGATTAAACTATATACATAAAAGGCTAGTGAGTAAATCAGACAACCAAGTACTAATACCCTTACTTTATTGTCTCTTGCAGACTAAGAATCTTACAAGATTGTCCCAACAAAACTTGATGGACTGTACCTGGGGATATGGCAATAATGGATGTGATGGTGGAGAGGAGTTCAGATCTTATCAGTGGGTGATAAAACACAAAGGAATTGCTACTGAAGAAAGCTATGGACAGTACCTTGCACAGGTAGAAATTTATTACATCTCACCTTTGGAGTTTTTTACCATAAGAATAGAAAGGAATGTAAGATTGACATTCTAGGGATTAGTCATCCTCCCCTCCCCCTCTCCCTCCCATCTCCCTCCCCTCTCCCTTCCCTCTCCCAAACAAAAATCCTGTTGTATCCACCATTGATATTTCCTGTCTTTAAAAATGATTTTCAGGATGGATACTGTCATTTTGAGTCTGCCAAAGTTGGGGCACAGATCACAGGTTATGTTAATGTTACTTCTGGTGATCTGAATGCTCTGAAGCTTGCTATAGCTCAGCAGGGTCCTGTGGCAGTTGGTATTGATGCATCTCATCGGTCTTTCTCATTTTATTCTTATGGTGTTTACTATGATCCCAAATGTGGTAAGCTAAAGATAACCACTTACAGCTGTTTTTTAACTCATCCAATTAATTTTTTTCACATTGAAACATCTTCAGATTTAATCTATTGAATTTTGAGGAATTGTGTTCATAACGAGATATTTTTCTAAATTGTTCTTGTTTAATCCTTAAAACTAGGAAATACACCAGCTGACCTTGATCATGCAGTTCTTGCTGTTGGCTATGGAACTATGGATGGTAAACCCTACTGGCTGATAAAAAATTCTTGGTCAACTCACTGGGGCAATAATGGATATGTTCTCATGTCACAGAAGGACAACAACTGTGGTGTAGCTACGGATGCAACGTTTGTGATAATGTAATTGGTGTCTCAGATAACGACCTATCTGATGTAATAGGGACGATGTAGTAATCAACAAAACAAAAATATTGAGTACTTCTTTATGTGAAACATTTGATGGTTCGGAGAAGAATTATGAACCCTTTGCATTATAACACGATCAGAATTTGATTTTCTCTCCTAATTTTTACTCTTTTTTCTTTGCAATAAGATGTAAGATTATTTCATGCCATAGAGAGGCAGGAATGTCAACTTTTAATATAAAAATACAACTTGATGCATGATCCCCAAAAATTGTCTGATATCGCAACAGTGACTTCTAAATTAAATACTAAACTGTAATCGATATTTTCTAATAAAGTATTTACTTTATATATAGCTTGTGAGAAATGTTTTTGCCATTATTCACTCTGTTACGTCATAGTCTGGTACTTCATGATACTCGTTTACTGTTGTGTTACCAGATCTGTGTCTTACTGCATACGGATGAAGGGAGTGGGTGTAGCTTCTTCTGGACAAACCCACTCTTAGTGGACGATTGCATGACTTGTTATAGTACAACTTTTTATGATTCAAACTTCCGTTCTCCATACCTAAAAAAATATTTCAATCCAATCAACGCATGTATTCTGTATAAGATATAGGTCTTTTGTTTTGAAACACACACCTCTGTTGCTGTCATTTTGGTCTCGGTTATCAAAGTTGGGTGTGGCTCTTTGACTTTCATACTTCTTCCATGTGAATGCTGGTGTTACCTTGATCTCAGTACGAGAAGTTTTGTTGAACTCTGCTGATGATCTAGGACATTGTTCTAATCTTTCGTTTGAGCACTGGAATGGCAAAATATATCATACTTTATATAAGAAAGTGGCATGTAAACGAGAAAGTCCAGCAGCTGTTTATAATACCTTTGTTTTTTTCATAGCACTTTCCACCAAGTGCATAGCCATTTCTAGGAGCTCTGGTCCATCAAGATTGCAGGCATCTCTTTCCAAGACTTCCAAGAACTGTGTACTGTACTTGTTTTGCTTGGGAGGTGTCCCATGTTCTATTAATACCAAGTATGAACGAAGAACTCTTAATATTGCAAGATGCATTCAGTAGGTGGATACTAAACAATACCTGAGGTGATGTTTCCCATAAACGTATTTAATCATACCTTGATTTTCGATGTTTGTAAAGACAGTGCTGCGATCTGTTGATTGTGGTATAGGTTCTTCATTGGCAGACGCGTCCATTGTTAGGAGATTCTTAACTTCCTCGGTCATCTCACTAATTTGGCTGCAACAGCTGTCATTGTCATTATCACAAGAATGAAACTCTTCCTCGTGACAAGATGTTTTCGCCCATAAGTTTCTCACTGGGCTTAGTAAAGGGTTTTCTAGCTTCTGGGTAACATCCTCCTTACACAATGAGGTACCATTTATGATACCGCGGTCATTCTCGTAGAGTAGTGGATCTTCAAATTCGAGGAAGATTTCGTCCATCCATGGTTTTTCCAAGTTAGCTGGTAATGTGTGGTGCTCGCTACCAACCTGTAAAATAATGTGTGATAAATGAGCAACAACAGAAGCACGATCAACAACAACAACTGTGACTCAGTCATAGTGGCAATGTTTGGCAATCTACAAAAACGGAAGTCGAATCATGGAGTGATAGAGGGTTATTTACCTCGTCAAGTAAATATTCCTCGCCCAGCCGAAGCAATGATGAACAGACGCTGGTTGGGCGGTAATCATTTACTCTCCTGTGGGTTTTGTTATAAAAAGTCTCTGCAGGTACCTCCTGTGCACCTTCAATTGTGAAGGTCGCCACCCTTAATAGATTAGTTGAGGGTGCATCTTCACCTTGGACTGGTTGCGTCTCTGTCAAACCATTCCGATCTGAAAAAGGACACTGGGAGGAGGAGTTTGAGAAAGATTTGTAAGACGTAGCCTGTGGTACTTTATCAAGGCATAGTACTTCGACAGACTTCGACTTTCCATATTCTGGATTATCTTTGTTACTGGCCAGGACCAATTCATGGCATGGTTCTTCTCCACACTTTCCATACTTTGGATCATCTTTGTCGGGTGGGACCAACTTAAAACATGGTACTTCAGCAGACTTCACGTAATCTGGCCCGTCTTCACTATTGACTGGGACCGGTTCATGGTATGGTACTTCAGCAGACTTAACGTAATCTGGCCCGTCTTCATTATTGACTGGGACCAGTTCATGGTATGGTACTTCAACAGACTTCACGTAATCTGGCCCGTCGTCACTATTGACTGGGACCAGCCCTAGGCATGGTAATTCTGCAGGCTTCCCATATTTTGGATCATATTTTGGATCATATTTGTTGATCACCAGGTCAAGGCATAGTACTTCGGCAGACTTTCCATTATCTCGATCATCTTTGTGATTTTTTAAGACTATTAAAGACTGCGGGTTATCTGTGTCCTTATGTTGTCTTCGGTTATCTTTTGATGCATCAGTATATAGCGATTGAGATGACTTTCCGTTATCGGGGTCATTATCTCGAGTCAGGGTGGCGAGTATAGGCTCTACAAAGTCATTTTGGCTGTTTCTGTCAAAAGTACCAAATTTTTCTTGATGGGATGAGTTCCGTAATTCTTCAATGGGTCTGTCATTTTCATCAACCTCAATACTGGTTTCTTCTGTTGGTTCATTTGTTACTTCTGTCGTGTTGCGATCTTTCTCTTCGTCTGTGAACCTCAGCATGTCCAGACTAGGAATTGGTATTACCTCAGGGAAGGAAAAGGATGGAACAAACCTTCCATTATCTGTTCGCGGTTTTTTAGTGCAAGGTTCATCATGATTTTCATTACGAGGTACCTGCTGATCCTCGGTCTCTAGTGCCTCATCTTCTTCATCTGAGAACAATAATTCAGTTGATGTAGTAGATTCGTTGTCGTCATCTGTGAAGTATTTTGTCCATACCACAGGAAACCCAAAGTGAACACTTTTCGTTTCAGGCTTTATTACGTTATCCATTTGTTCTTTTCTTAGTATGGATGGTAGCTGGTGCTGGTGAGTCATTGCCGCCTGGATGTTAACAAGATTCGCCTCGTCCTTGGGATTTTGGTTCTTTTGGTGCAGGACACCTGACCACTCCGCAARGGTTGCAAAGTCAATTGTTTCTCCACGACCTATGATCGTTGATAACATGTTAGTAAGAAGACATGACTACAAAAGCCAGGCAAATAAAGCGTCAGGTTGATGGCCCATTCACTACTAGTAGCGGCAACCCGATTTCATTGGAAGTCCGCACATCCTTTATTCCCTTTTAAAAATAACAAGAGAAATCCATTTAACATATCACTGGTTCAATGATTTTCCCCATAAATATATTTCAAGGAAATCGTTTAGTTATTGCAGCCAAGTGATGTAACTTTATACCTTACAAGTGTAAAAATACCTTCATTAGATTCTATGGCTTTTACCCCAAATGGAGAAAGCTGGAAGGACCCTGTAAAAGATCAGAAACGATAATAAGAAGAGCAAATAACGATTCATGTCATTTAATATTTGAACACGGATAAACAAAAGATAAAGGCTTACAAGGATGTTGCGCCGCAATAAGCAGTAGTTTGGTCTGTGGTGGTAAAATTGTGAAGGTTCGTTAATCCATGGGGAGGACCAAGGGAGGRGCACCCAGAATACCAATCATATGTCAATCAGCAATGATGGCCATGGCTTTCTTTTGTCCTTTCAATCTCATGAGAAGGCCCATATACAAAAATATTGTTCATTAACGTACCTTGAACATAACTTGCTGTAGTACCCTTCTGCATTTTCCTGCCTGATTCATTGTCAAACACAAGTGTAGATGCTGTTGCAACATCGGTTTTTGTAGATTTTTCGGCTGTCAATTTGGCGTACTTCGGTACAGTCTGCATCAGAGCTAGCTCCTGCTTTAGATTTTCTGCACCACATGGTTCTTCCACAGATTCATGTTTCGGCATAGACTTCGACAAAGATTTTATGCCTCGAGACTCATTCAAATTCTCATTTTGGTTATTTTCCCTAGAAATATCATCACCAACCTCTGGTACTGTCAAGTCGTTTTCGGCATTTTTGTGGGAGTCTAAATAATTGAAAACGATTTCCTCTGTAGAGAAGTCTTTTGTCGCAGATTTATTAGCATCAGAGATAACTTTTACAGCGTTCTTTAGCTGAAAAACTTGTTTTCGAGGTTCTAGGAATGAAGTTAAAAACCATGGATAATAAAACGACTCGCCCTTTTATCATCCGTGATGTAGTGAAGACGAGAACGACGCTAAGACTAACTATAAACTTACCGCTACTCAAGTACAAAGATCTTTCGCTTTGGTGTACTAAGTCGTTCTTCTTCAAGTACATCTCATTAACCAAAATTTGGTTTTCAGGGACAAATTGAAAATCAGCCATGAAGTATTTTTTAACTGGTAGTTTTAGCTGTAAAAGGTAAGCTCAGTTTGAAAGTGGAATGCAAAACATGTTTTCTTTCACAAGTTGTTCATCCTTTGAAATATGGAAAAAGATATAGAATATGTAGGGAAATATCAGAATTTAGGAACAAATAACTTACCCGTTCGATGATATATTATGAGAAAGAAAAGCAATATTTTAAAGCTACAAAAATCCAATTTTCGAGAGTAAAAATATCATCTCTTTTGTCGTTTGTTTTTATTTTTCGCGCTCTTTTCTGCAGGGCAGCAGGCGCGTCTGAACTTCAAATATGGCGCCAAATTTCTCGAATTACGTCATTCATATTTCTACCAATCATATTCAAGGTGACGTAATGTTATGTGATTATCCCTTCCCTCTCCCTTTCCTTCTGCATTTTTTCGATTTTTACTAAGTTATTTTCCCATTAAATTTTCTGCTTCACTTTTATAGCATTCACGCAAAAGTTGAGACTTCTCGCAAAAATTTTAAGGTGCAATATCATTTCTCGCTAAGTGCAGTAGAAAAGAGCTTGGGATATTTGTATTCTGAAAGCATTAGACTTTATAGTGAGTAGTAGAACTAAGAAAAGTAAACTCATTGCATGCCAGGTTATAACGTTATTTAATTTTTAATAAGTTACTCTTTTTTGTTTGTTTGTATATTCGTACTCTTTTCTTAATGAGCCTACATATTTTATATTTCTACTTTTGAATTAATATTACTAATAAGATAAAAGGTCGTGCTTTATATTCCTATTTAAAAGTAGGAAACTGCGTTGTTTGTTTGCGAACATATTACATTTTGCAGCATGTTCCCCTTTTCAAATTTCATATTTCAGATATCCAATGGGCAACGTTTTTTGAATTAGGGGATATTCTCTTGGCATACAGTTAGTGATATTTTGGTTGTCTGTGCTGTGAGGAACTGGAACTTGAACTCTTGCCGTGTGAGCTTTTACTGCTTGGGTGGTAATAATGACGTGAAGAATGTGAACTACTTCCTGAATGTTCTAGAAAACAAAAAAAGACTTTCCTGTAATTTTAAGCAAATTGGGACACCTTAGAGTGATTCAGGATCGGATACCCACCATCTTGAGAGCTTGGATGCTTGTCACTGTATTTAGACTTTGAAGAGCTGCTTGTATGATGGTCCCTCTTACTTTGTGAGTAAGGGTTATACCTGTGACTGGGCCTCTTGCTGGTCTGAGAGTTGGAAAATTCCTAAGTAAGACGTAACATAATAATCAAAGTTTGTGGTTTATCAAAAATACATGTACCTGCCCGAAATCTTCAATGCATGGAACAATAGCCACAGCTTAATCATGATACATTCAGCGTATTATACTAACCCCATAATGTGTGCTGTGCCCTCCTGTTGAAGTCTGTGTCTGTTCTTGTTTTGGTGGTGGTGGTCTCTGTGGAGGAGGTGGTGGCATCTGCTGGTCAACCTTACTAGGATCAAACTGTGCCTGCCTTGATTGAGTCTTCCCTTGTTGTGGAGACTGAGGAGCAGGTTGGTAACTATGGGTGGCAGCTTGATGCTGCTGGGGTTGTTGTTGTCCTTGGTGTTCCACAGGGATGGGATATCCATATGGCTGTGCTTGATATTGTTGCACTGGGTAGCCATAAACCTGTTGTTGTATAGGATAACTTGTTTGCTGTTGGGAATACAGTGATGCTGCTTGCTGTTCTTGTACATTTGAGTACCCAGGGTAGCTTTGCTGTTGTGCTTGCCCAGTCTGTGGTGCAGGGTGTGGGTAACTAACCTGACCTTGGGGTTGCTGATGCAGACCCTGGTTCTTGGCTACATACTGCTGATGATCTGGGTAAGCTTGCTGTTGTGCTTGTATAGGATACCCATATGCTTGTTGTTGTTGCGTCAATGGCATTTGAAATGATTGCTGTTTTTGCTGATCATTATCTGGTTGTTTCTTTGTTTGCTGTTGTTGTGAAGGCAATTGACTTGTGTATGACTGTGGTGGCTGTTTAGAATGCTGTTGATAACTATGCATTCCATACTGTTGTAGCCTCTGGTGTGGATAATCTTGCTTGGTATTTTCTGGATTTTTGGAGAGGTTATAAGACTGGGGTTGCTTATGCTGTTGATTTTGCACTGGTGGTGGCGGCGGTGGTGGCACATTACTAATTTGCTGTTGCAGTCCATCTTCAGGCTTTGGCTGAGTTTGGTACACAGGGAGTTTAGTATGCTGTTGTTCCACTTGTTGCGACTGGTACTTCTGATSTGAAGGTGGTACATCACGTTTATGGTATTGTGGTGGGTGTAAAGTTGATTGGTTTATATCATGTTTGGGGTACTGAACTGTTTGGATTGGTTTTTGTGTGGAAGGACTTGCTTCTTGCCTAGGGTACTGTATCTGTTGTGTTAATGGATACTGTACTGGCTGGTTAATGTCCTGTTTTTGATAGGGTGTTGATGGTTTTGCTTCATGTTTGGGGTATTGTACTGGTACTAGTTGGTGTGTTGATAAAGGGTGCTGTGGGTGTTGTTGTTTTACTGGTTGCTAAAAGAAAACACAAAAAAGTAAAGTTAGAAATACCAAAATATTCCAAGTCTGAAGTATTTTCTTTGTTATAAGTCATAATTGTGTAAAATGTGCAATATGTCTGGGTGCTATCTCTTGCTACTGTGTAGTCCAAGCAAGTCTTGGATAACTGTAAGTTTGATTCATAACCTATACACATATAAAAGTTGGTTGCGAGGGCCATAAAGCACCCTAAAAAAGGGGTGTGGGTGCTATACTGCCCCCCCCCCCCCAGCCTCTCTACGGTCTCTGAGTTGTTGTGTCTCGTAAATAGTGACCRATAAACCTCGTAAAATAATTTGTTTGTTTAAATTTGAAAGTTCAGTTACCTTTCCATGGAATGGTCCAGGCTCAGCAGGATGAGGTTGCTGTCCCTGCACTGAAAGCCCAAGCGGTGATGCAGAACTTGCTACAGCTGGCTTTGGTGAAACATGTTTTGATTGCTAAGTGTAATCATGAAAAATATAAAAAATGTACAGTCATGTAAGTTTGTAATAATGTTAACACTTCAAAGCCAATTATTATTTGAACCCATACATCAGCAACTTCTAGAAATGTGAGTTTATAATTATTATTATAGAATTTTCAAGTAGAGTTCAGCCGTATTTTATTTACAGTCAATTCCAGTTTCAAAGATATTAGGCATTAAAAACACTGTATGTCTCTTTTAACACTGCCTGCTCGCGAGCAAAGGGACCGTTCTGTCAACCTGAGGCATAACTAATCAGATAAAATTATCAGTCAACCGCTTGAATCAGTGCATTCTGTCAACCTGAGGCATAACTAATCAGATAAAATTATCAGTCAACTGCTTGAATCAGTGATTTCTACCCATTGTCCATCCCTTTCAGTCCAGTTGCATAGGCTTGACTGTATATAGTTCATACTAACAAGGTGTCTGTATTAAATAAATTCACTCTAACCTGCAATGGAATCAGTTGCTGATTAGTTTGCTGATGATAAGGAGAAAGCTGGTTTCCAGATGATGACGATGTTGATGATGTTGGTGAATAGGTAGTAACAACATGTACTGGTGCCATTGGTGTAATCCCTGTAGACTGTGGAATTGGATTGTTTCCTGGTAATACCTGGCCCTGGTTACCAGTACCTGTAATCTTGAAGTGTTTTTCAGGCTGTGCATTAGCTGTTGTCCCTTGACCAAATGGGTAATTTGATCCTCCTCCGAATGAACCTGGGTAAGGGTGCCTTGAGGGTTGGTTGCTATGATGACCTTGATATTCTTGGGGAATGTTAGGGAGATCTCTTGTGCCCCCTTCAAAGTACACAGGAATTAGAGAATGGTAAAAGAATTGAGAGGACTATACTGTATGAAGTTGAATATTGAAGTGACAGGGAGGGACAATCTGAAAACTTCCATTCGTGGGCCACAGGTTTATAAGTATTTTTTACAATTCAGTGTTACTCTCTTTAAAAATAGTTTTCTATTAATGTCTCTCAAAATAACCAGCAGTGCAAAGATTTGACAAGACAAGTTTCAACATTCCAATAATTTATAGTTCCAGTGACCATGAAGGAGCGATTGCAGAATACCCTGCCACACAAAGACATTTATAACTGCGAAGTGGCTACGCAGTCAAAATTAATGCCTCAGGCTACCTATGTCCAAATAGAATGACGTATAACTACGAAATGGCTACGTGGCCACACGGCTGCACAGTCAAAATTAAGATATTCAGAACCATATTTTGGTATCCCTGTGCACGTATCTTACATGTAGCTGTAGCCAGTGGCTACAGGCAGAGACATATGAGTGGTGGGGTATTCTGCAATTATTATAAGCCTTATTCATAATCACTGAACGGAACTGTCAAATGTAGTATTCTGGAAAGACCAATAACCAGCCATTATTTTTAGTCCAGGTCATGTTGTGGGATAGGGGGAGAAATGTAGATTGGTGCATCAATAACACAGGCACTTACCTGGAGCACTAGTGATAGGGGTCTCCACTCTAGCAGGAACTAGAATTTTTGATGGGACATTAGTCGTAGCCATTGGTTGAGAAGATGGTACATTCCTCGGCATATTTCCAAACGCAGGTCTGGGAGTCATCATAACATACGGCATACGATGAACACTACCACCCATCAAAGGGTGGGGATGCTGTGGGGGCATCATAACAGATGACTGGCGCTCCTTTTGTCTTTTCTCTTCATCCTCGTTCAAAACTTTCTTCAATTGCAGAAACAACTGATGTTTTTCGTTTTTAAGTGCCTCCAGTTTGGCTYCCTGTTTACTGATCTCCATTTTAACGTCTTCTACTGTCTCCTTCTTTTTCTCTTCTTCCCTCTTTCTTTGTTTTTCGGCCTCTTCCTTTGCTCTACTTTCCTCCAAAGCTTGTCTTTCTTTGAGTCGCCGCCTCATGATGTAAGCCTGGACAGCTTTCAGCTGTTGTTTTGAGGGACGTTCTCGCTCGATTAAGACTGGCATTTTCAATTTTAAAATAGAAAAAACAATAGGGAAAGCAATTATTCGATCGATAGTTAACCTAGTATGAAGGAAAAAGCCTCAAATGAATAAAAATAAAATGATAAAAATAGCAATCATGAATGTGCGCCATGGTTTTTTGTCTATGGCCTGAGCATGCGCACTAAGMTGAACCACAGGAAGCCCAAAATATATTTAAATTCTCTGTCACAGTCAGTGAAAAAGAAATTCGAATCTCATTCTCTTGTCTCTTGAATATTTTTCTAATATGAAAATTGATATGATCACTATAAGAGAAAATATTTTAAAGCGATATAATTTTTCTAAATAATTACTAATTAATTTTTGATTTTTTTTTTAATATCCTGAAATCGAATGTTTTGACGAACTTAGGAGTGAGCACTAAATAGAATGTTTGATTTACAAAAAAGCAAAAAAAATTCCTTGAAATTTTTTCCGTACAATAGCTATATATGTTGGGCTACCTGTGGTATAGTTAGTTCTAAGGCACGTGATCAAACAACGCCAGCCAAGATGCCAGTTGAAAGCAAGCACATGAAAACTATGGCTTCTACGGACTACTTATCCTTTGGCTTTGCTGCTGTTGTTGCTCTTGGAGGCGTGTTGGGGTATGCCAAAGCAGGTCAGAGAAAATTTCAATTATCATTTCTGTTTTTTGTGCATATGTTTGTACAATCAGTGTTCGGTAGCAATTATGTAATCAAATTGTATCGTATGGGACCTTAAAACTCCAACTTGTACAGATTTAATGAGTACATTCACTGCAAAAAGCAAAATTTCAACTACAAATGCACCAAATATTTGGCCCTTCTTACATTGTTTTTACTATGACATAATATACATGAAAAGTTTATATTGTTTAACGGGAATTTGACCCGTGCGTAAGAGATCAGAAGTAAAATATTTGCAGATTGTTACAAAGATCAGCAAACGTAAACATGCTGTTTTTCTTGTTGAATTTTCGTTACAGGAAGCACAGTCTCTCTTGCGATGGGGCTGGGCTTTGGAGGGATAGCTGCATTTGGTGCTGTGCAGACTTCAAGGGATCCAAAGAACGTCTGGGTGCTGCTTGGTAAGGTTACTTATACCCAATATCTTAGTACCTGCTGTCGATGGCGAGACAGCTCTTGAAGTTCATTTGCATATCAGCCGAAACCTGTCTGGGAATATACCGCCTTAAAATTAAAACATTACAATCTATTAATTTTAATAAATTCAATGAAAACTGTGATTACCATAAATACATTAAATGAGCCTCGACAGCACTGAGCAAATCGTCAACCAGATTGAATTTTCTTCATTGGCCACTAACAAACTTATGGAGCATTTTTCATGTGTAGAAAATGATAGCTTACCTTAATACAATGAGTGTTACTATGCCACTGTGATTGGATGGTTCACACAAATAGAAAGCCATTTCAGTGTTCCACCCCCTCCATCTCCATGGTTCTTGATGGCTCAAGTCATTGACAATGATTGTTTGTTGTTTTTAGTTTCATCAATGATTCTTGCTGGTGCAATGGGTTCGAGGGCAGTTAGGAGTGGCAAGTTTATGCCTGCTGGTTTCATAGCGACTCTTAGGTAAGGATTCTACATTTGATGAAAAAACTTGGTATCACATATGAGCAGAGCAGAGTATAAGGGGTTGATTTGTGAGCTAGCTTTACCCTGTCTTAGATCAGCCCATAGGTTGTTTCAGGGTTTGTTCTGTGAGTTAGCTGTGCCTTGACTTGGATTAAACCCAGATGTTGTTTCAGGGTTTGATTTGTAAGTTAACCATGTCTTGACTTAGCAGAGGTTGTTTCAGTGTTCCATAAAATGATATATTTTGAAAATATTTGTTTAACTCATTGTTTTTTATTCTTATTTATAGTCTAGCTGAAGCTGCTCGCATGGGTTACAGACTGCTTAATCAATAACCAAGATAGAGTAAGGACATAGGGCTGTTCTGTTTGACTGTTTTGTTCTGCAGATGCAACCTTTAATAAGTATAAGAATCTGCATGTATCTGTCTGTACAGGAATCTTTAATCTTACATGCATTGACAATTTATAACTGATAATGTGTTATATCTGCTTCAAACCCAAAACACATGCACCTATTTCAAAAAAGGTTTTTCTGAGCCAAAGGAGATTTTTGGATTCTTTTTCTTGCAAGCTAATTAACCAATCAAAGCACACACTATATCGCTATGTTATAGATAGTTTTGTCTTAAGAGATTAAAGTCTAGTTGCTTCAAGTGCTTTGCACAGAAGTGGTTGAAGGAATGATTATTTACATGCAAGGTTAATAATAGTACAGTTTGTAAGCTTTCCAGTGGTTAAATAAAAAACTATTTGCCTACAAAAAAATAAGAAAACCGGTTAGATTTATTTACATTTCTAATGATTGAATTTTTAAAATATTTCTTCAAAATGCTTGTTCTTTTTCCTGAATGAACATGCTGTAGCTTGTCAAAGGAGAGGCCAGTATCTGCACCATATTACGTTGTGAGTGTTGGTAGGATGGCTGTATTTCAATGACATGCTGTTGGCCAATACCTACCAACACTGATATGGGGGTCATATTCTTTAAGATTACTGCTGTTTCTCACAGGTTTAAATAAATAATTACAAAGTTTCAAGTCCTTGCAGGGGATTTACTGCTTGTTCTCTTTGCTATCCCAGGTCTTGCTGGTGATTTACTCAATCTGTCAGTAGTATTTTCCCTCCCTTTAGACAGACTTCTACTTCTAGCTCTGGAATCTTCCTGGGATGTTTTTCTCCCAACACTATTGTCCCTGGATGTTTTTCTGCCTCCTTGTTCATCCTTAGRAGACCTTCTTGCAGGCATCTGAGAAGTCCTCTTCACCAATGGTGTTCTTCTTTTCCCAGATTCTTTTGCTTTTTTTCTCTCTTCCTCTTTCTTCTTTTCTTCAGCTTCCTCTAATTTCCGTAACCTTTCTTCCTCCAAAAGTCGTTCTTTGTTTTCAGCAACAGAATGTACTTCTTCAATCATGTTTGTGGCCTGAGCATTACGAGAAAATTAAGATTGGTATTAAACTTGCTAAGTTTGTAACTAATAAGTTTACTCAAATGGGAGGATATTATGCCTAAGGTAAAGAAGTGTAGAGAAAGTGCATTTCGTTTACCCAATATATTTTTTTGTTTACCCAATATACTAGCGCTTGCCTCCTACCAATGGAGGCTCAATGTTGTATGTTAATAGAGTTGCTTGTTGATTCTCTCCTGTGCTTTCTTCAAGTGTTTTCTCCACGTTCTACGGTTTTCCTCCTTCCGTAAAAATTGACTACAAAATTTCAATTGGAATCCAGTGGAAGAACTTTCCACTGTGGAATCCACTGTTAAATTCCATTGTTATTATTATTATTGTAAGCTTACCCAAGCATAAAATGTAGCAGCTCCAGCACTGATGTCCCTCACTATTTCTAAGTCCAGTTCTTCGAGGTACTTTGAATGAGCATATAAAGCATGGTCCATTTCAACATGAAGGGGATCCAGTGAAGTAACCTGTCGTTTTAACCCTTCTTTGCCTGTTTTACCCAGCAGTGCTTGCATGTGCTTCCAGTTGAGTAACTCCTTCTCTTTATAGCCAAGAAGAATATAGACAGCTATCATCACCTACAAATTAATATGGGTTGTATTATTCAAGAACAAGAAAAATAGCTGCTCATGAATAGCTGACATATAATGATCAGCCACATCAGATTGATTGAGAGGACTGGCCTAAGAGGCAAGTAAACATATATTGCACTGGTGACAATATTAACAATGATTAAAACAAATAAAAGCAAACCAAAACTTGTATTTTACAATTATTATTAGTATCCCTGTAAAGTGTAGCCTCCTTTGCAGCCATTCTTAGGGTCCTCACGCAACGGCTGCARAGGAGGCTATGTAAAGTGCTTTTCTGTGAAGTTTTCTCCATGCACCACCACTTCATACATAATTTTTACAACATCAGGATTCGCACTACTCCTTAAACTCCTTGAATTTAATTCACTTTTTCAAGGGCACTTGAAAAGCTTTTGAATTTTAAGATTTTAGTGAAACTCCTTGAATTTTTGCTTTGATCGTTACTTGCGTGGTTCTGAAATAGATCTATTCAGAAAGATCGGAAAATCTGAAGTCAGCCATGTGCAACCACTGTGCAAAACCTTGGCTTATTTAGCTGAACATACTCCTTGAAAACCATACCTTATGAACTGCAGGCGGTGGATTCTGATAACTACGGATTTCAGAAATAACACTCTGTTTGAGTTCCAAGATTTCAGCCCTGATTTTCTCCAGCCTACGCAGCCTGTTTGCTAGTCTCTCTCCTTCCTTCAGCTCGGGTCCCCAATCCTTTTCCCATCCATTCTTACGAATGGATGACATTGATTTTTCTATATCACCAAGGTGACGGCTGTTGATTGCATCTTTCAAGGCCTTGCCGGCTTTTACATTATCTAGTGTTTTCTGTGCCTCATCAATATCTTTCTTCAGAGCTAAAAAAAAAGACAAGTAAAATTCACTTTCTAGTACTGTCAGTAATAGCCTAAGAAACCATAGAAAATTAATTACACCTTGAACTTTTTATCAATTCCCTGTAACAGCCTCTGGGCTGATCAAAGAAAGGGCATGGTTAACTCTAATTGGAATTTAGTGTGTTAGGGTTTGCAGAAGTAAGAAAACTGAAGAGCCTGGAGACCTAACAAACTTGACCCAGGGATCCCAGAGATGAGAAGTGAGGGTACTACCACCATACCACCCTTATTTCTGATTTGGCCAGAATTTTATGGCCATTGAGCGGCTATTATTCTTAGCACTTGGACAACTCAGATACTACTAAAAAGAATGCTACTTTTTTTATAATTGTCTGTTGAATATACAGTAAGAAAACATTACTTGGTATTTTGGCAGCTTTGGCCTCTGAAATAGCTGGTTCCAGTTTATTAATCTTCCTAGACTTGACTGAAGCCTTTAGGTTGGCTCTCAGTCTCTTCTCCTTGTTAGCCAATGCCTCGGCAAGAGCTTTCTTCTCAGCTTCTTCAGCAGCTTTGCGGCTTGCTTCATCTGTGGCCTGCTTTGCAGCTTCTGCTGCTTTCTGTGCCGCTTCTGCAGCAGCAATTTCGGCTTCTGCTGCCTCCTCAGCAAGGTCTTCTGCTTCCATTCCTTCTTCTTTTTCTCTCTGAAGCCTTTCCTCTCTCTCTGCATTATTTTAAAAATTTAATAAAGCAAAAGCTTATTGGTGTGTGTTTGAGTGTGTGGGATGGGGGGAGGGGGGGGGGGTTGGTATGCAGCTCAACTTGTTATATCCTCCTAAGAGGGTTGCAATAAATAACATGATGTTTTACCTTTTTCTTCTTTTTCTCTCTCCAACTTCTGCTGCTTTAGTAACTCTTCCTTTTTCCATTTTTGCTGCGCTAACTCTTCCTCCCTTCTCTTTTCTTCTTCTTCTTGTTTCCGTTTTTCTTCCTCTTCTAGTCTTTGTCGTTCTTCCTCCAACCTCTTCTCTTCTTCCTCTAATAGTTTCCTTGCTTCTGCCTCGCGTTTTAACAAATCCTTGGCTTCCTCTTCTTTTTGAAGGCGGTATTTTCGTTCTTCTTCTTCAGCTCTGTTTCTTGCTTCTTCTTCGACTTTCTTCCTTTTGGCAGCTTCTTGTCTTCTTCTTTCAGCTTCTTGTTCTAATTTCGCCAGTTCTTCWGACTTCTTTCTCTCTGCTTCTTTTTCCATTTCCTTTTTCTGTTTCATACTCAATAGTGCGTCTTTTTTCTGTTCTTCTTCTTCTCTCTCTTCTTCTATCCAATCTAAAGTTGGAATATTACATAGAGGTACTTCAATCTCTGCAAAGCTGATCTCTGATCCTGGAGCTGGCCGACAACGCAGGAATTTCAACCATCTTTTTTGCGAAAAAAAGTCATCGTGAACCGCTTGGAACAAGAACCTTGCATTTCTCTCACTAATAGTTCCTTTACGTTCTCTATCCAGCATATTAAACTCCCACTGAAGGTCCTTCACCAAGAAATATCTTCGATCCATCTCGTTTAACACATCGTGAAGTTCATCTTTATCACAAGTGTCTGTCGCACAAACCTCAGATATCGAGGCTTCTACTTGAGCTAAACTTATTCCACCATCTCTTATCTCGGCATGAAGAGCTTGGAGTTGGTATGGTGCTAGTTCTCCGGTTAAAGTTGTGTCGTATTTATTGAATATTTCGGAGATAACTTCGTCTTTGCTCATCCAGTCGAAGGAGTACGCCATGTTGTTTATCTGGTCACTTGGGAGATTCGACGAAACCACAGGGAACCCAAGAGCCATATAAAATATTTTACATTCTGATACTAGTATAGTTTTTGAAAAACAATTTTTCCAAAAAAATTAACAACTTTTTCTTATCTAATAGTACAATTGTGGAATTGAATTAAAATATACGTGATATGGAAATGCAGGAATATTTTTACCTTTGAGTTTTTGCAAAGGAATATAACTTGTATTGTGGCATAAATTTCTTGATTAAAACAAAACTAGCATTGCAGTTTTACCTAAAAATGGTGTAAACAATTTAACGGTACTTATTGATAATTAAACCAATCTTTTTTCATCTGCAAGAAAAATATGAATAATCTTTGTACAAATACAGAACACTTTACACCCCACAATAATATGATGCTGATAACTTTCCTTTATTCTCTAGAGTACAATGGAATTGATTTAAAAATTACAAAGCTTTTTGGTGAAAAGGAACAACAGTGTCATCATTGGATATGGAGACTGAATGGAATTGACATTAAAGCATTTTCCATATAACCTAACATTTCTAATGTAGCTAAAATGAATTGCCCTATAACACTATGATGTCACATCAAAACAATCTTTTGTTTTGACACTAAGGATCATGGTCGCCAGAGGAGGCAAAATAGCCGCAAAACGAATTAAATCACAATAAAAAATGGTTAATTAGACGGGGAAAGGTGATAACAGATAAATGTCGTACTAAATATCCCAAACGAAAGAAAATTTGAAATTGAATACCATACCAATCTTTCTCTCCGTCTCTTTATGGTCACATCAAAAGTGAGGCACTATTTTTGCTAGCCCTTATCTCCCACATTATCTTTTCCACTGTTTTTTCTTAGACTGACCACAGTAAATCCGTGAAACTTTTGTAATACTAAATAGCACAATTTCATGCAAATTCCATTGTTTTCTATTGTTTAACTAGCACTATTTTGTACTATTTAGTAATTAGTGTTTCATGGATTTACTGTGGTCACTCTATTTGCTTGTACAAACTTATTATTTCTTTTTTATAATTTAGTTATCTTCCTCTGTATCAGTCGACCCACCTCCCCTTAATCATGACTGGTGCCTAATTCTAATTATCATTAAGAATATAGCATTTTTTAACCAACTGATTAATTTAACTTTGTTGTTACAATTATGTAACTAGACACAGGGACTACAGAGCACCCTAAAAAGGAACGAGTTATTGTTGTCTTTCATATCTTGTCATAAAAAAACTATAGCCAAACCTTACCATTCCTCTCTGTAGTATGAAAGGAGGGGAAAAACAAAACAACAGTTGTCAGGGATATGGTAGATTGTGAAAGGAGTGGGAGGGGAGGGTGTAAAATACAACACTCATGAGCACTGGGAACTGAAATAGAACTTTTAAGTGTAATGTCAATTGTAAGGAAAAAGGATTTCCGGGTCCAAAACGAAAAGTATTTCCATTAATATGTTTCTTCCTTTTTGTCCATGACAGGATTTGTTGCCAATATTCTAATTAGGGACCTTAAGCTGCAGGATGGCAACAATGATGATGACGGCAAACATACAATAGCACTAATTGCGCTATTCAATAGATACTCGTTGGAATGTACGAAATACTGTGCATCATTGCTGTCTTTTTTTGCTGAAAGTAAGACGTGAAATGTCCTATTTTTAAGTACTAAAGAGAATGGCTACGCTAAAAGCTTATCTTTGCTGATTTTCGTTTATGAGTAAAGCGCTCACAAAAGACGTCATTTCACTCTAAATCGGGGGTGCTTATTGAGTAAAATACTAGGTAAACACGAAATAATAATACAATAGAACGGCGAAGCGCCTCAATTTCGCAGACGTTGTCGCCCACGTTGCCGTCCTGCAGCTTAAGGTCCCTATTGTTTCAGAATATTTTATTTTATTGAGAACATTTGCTTTATCTTATGTCTTTTTGTGAGCAGTTGGAACCGGAAATACGCCACAACTTAATAGATCTATAAGGAAACTAACGGCATCAATTCCGATTTTGAAATTCAGTTAATCTAATTTGTCAGTGCTAAGAATAATTTGACGTTGTGTTCGTGTAATTATCCCATATCCAGGTTGTAAGGGCTTGTAACTTCATCTATTCCAAAATCTTCTTCATTAGCAATACGTACTAACGATCTTCTGCACATATCGTTGAGCAGATCAGCATTGTTAATATCCAGGAAACTACGACATGTCTAAATAAACAACAAAAATAAAGAATTAATATTTCTAAGCACAAAATTCACTAGATATAGCGTTTATTGCACGGGAAAGTTGTGTTATAAAACTATGAGTTTTAACCTGCATTTCTAAATACTTTTTTACGATTTTGGGGGAAGACGATAAAAAAAACTTGTCATCGCAAATCACTACAACAAGTACAGCTGTGGCGCAGCTCAACGGGGTTGAACTGAAAGCATGAAATAATGATATTGTAATAATTTTTCAATAATAATTCCGTAGTTATTGAGCTAGAAATAACCTTGTAACAGGAGTTGACCGCACTATGATATGAGTTAGGCCGTGCGAGTTAAGTTGGAGTTTTAAGTTCCTAATGATTGCTCTCCGGAGCGGCCTTGCTTTTACGCGTGCAATTATACACGCATTAAGCTTTTTCACCTGTCAGAGTCATCATCGTAGAGCAGTTTGCTATAACTGTGTAGAGCTCGATGCCGTAAGCGTGCCGTGCTGTGATTAATTGGCTGATTTTTTCTCGTGTAATGTGATTGGACTGGCAATGCCGTGACCTTGGCGTGACAGTATCCACGGCGTGACAGTGTCCACGCCGTGACTGTGTCGTGTTTCGGGTATTTGATCGGATGCAGAGTAAATTCTTGCGCAATGTGATTAGCTTCCCTTATACCTTAATTGCTGTGTCACGACCGCGCTCGTGCCGTGAGCTTTTCACAGTCATACGAAAACGGAAAACTGTTCAAATTTACCTGTAATGTGTCGTCACCGTAGAGTAGTTTCAAGACATCTGCCAGGGCAGCCTCAGCTGATGCTTTAACACTTGTGTTCCTATCTTTGGCAGAAACTATCAAGGCAGGTACTAGGCTCTTGAGGGTCGTGATATCAAAAGGTTCGTCTGATGAATTGGAAGCATATTTGATGACAGACGCGGACAGACTGCGAACCTCAGTGGCGCCATTCTGGATAATCTAGAGTAAAATACAGTATACATTATTTCCTCGTATTTGATGAGGATTGGAGCACATCTGGGTGTGAGGTGGGGGGTCTCAAAAATGAAACCACAAAAGCGCAAGGGGAGGGGAGGGCGGGGAATAAATTACGGAGAGGTACTGCAGGTCGTTGGGAGTATAGCGAGGCCACCAAAAAAAACTTGCAGTGCGTAGGATACCGTACGGCCTTTGAACCGAAGAGACTGGTATGGATGGTAATCAGTTCTCACACTAGTCAGACCGTTGAAAACAGTTTTGACAGTACATTACACCATTGCGACCATGTCGTTGCCATTTTGATGACATGTACGAAGACAAAAAGGGTTTTACCTGAGTTAATGTCTGTACCACTTGCGCAGCTGGTTTCTGGGATTGTTTCCTGGAATGCGACAGCAGAAATCCCAGAGAACGCACACCAAAACTTCCAATTGGGATCTATAAAATATATTTTAGTCAAACATCTCTGTCAAACTATTAACACGTGCAAGGGGATTCACTTACCCTGTCCGTCGAGGCATGGGTAACAGCAGCATCAGTGATGACGTCATACAGACCACATGCCAAGATCTTGTCTGGTGCATCGTGCAACACCGCTGACAGGGCAATGGCGTGACCGTGGCGCAGGAACCAGTCGACGGAAGGATCATTTACTATCAACCCAAAAGATATGGAACTATTTGATTACTTAGTTCAAACGGGTAAGAAATCGCAATGCTTTACGTACCTGTGAGGTGGTCACTAATCAGGCTTTCTAGTTCATTATCAGRTAAAATAGTGGCTAAGGACCCAATACAGATCCCTGCGGCAACGCGTATGATATTCTAAAATATAACCAAAGTAGCTGTTATTGCAAGTAATAGACGGATATACAACAGAGATAGAATGGAAGGAGGGGAGTGTACTTGTCTCGTCAGGAGGGGAGGTTATGCCCTTTCAACTTAATCTGTCCTCACTGGCAAGGGGGGCGTTAAACGAAAAGAATCGAGAAAGAAATGAGTGTTATTCCTCACCTCGCCATGTCCTAACAAGGACAATAACGTTGTTGTCAGTGTTTTTCGTACTGTTTCACTCATCTTCTCACCAGCACCACTGATCACTCCCCTCAGTGCCTGCAATAACGTCTCCCTTACGAGATACAAGAAGAAAAATGCCATTACTTTCTATTTTGTCTAGTTTGCGAGAGAACGCCGATTAACCGTACACGCAGAGCTTGTAAAAAGAGGACGATTGGAGCTCTCTAAGAGTGCAAATATAGAAGTTAGAATGTATCAATTGTGTCAACTTAATGATTCAGGCGCAGTGGAGCCTGCAAGATAAGAGGTTTGTTTTTTCTGTTGTTGTGGCGAGGCTGGAGTCGCTGTAAAACGTTGGCTGTTCATCACTATGAGTCCCAAGGGTCGGGTCGCGGGTTCGATTCCTGTAGACGCCATGTTTTATTTGATGTGTTTTTCTCTCCCTTTCCAGGAGGAGTTTTAATCCAGGTTCTAAGGTTCTCCTCCCTCCACAAGAATTGAGTTTTGATTTGAAAGTGGTGTGCTTAGAGCATTAAACGTAGTGAGTGTAGAGTGCGTCCTACACATAAACATTAGCCTCTGGTCAGGCAGACTGGGCAACGACTCCTCATATCACCACGTAAAACAAATATTTAAATCTTACTTGATAGCGTTATCTTCATTGTTCTTGACACAGTTCTGTAGTTCAGTAAAAAGTGGATCGACACGTGTGTGGAGTATGACGAGTCGGTTAAGTGCACAAGCAGCTTTGCCTCTGACGGCCTTGTTTGGATCGTTCAACGCCTTGACAAATGTTGTCTGTAGCTGAGGCAAGAAGGGTTTCAACATGACTCCAACCTAACAACCAAGAAAAATATATCATATACCTCTTTAGCCTAGGTGTAAGGTTTTTCAATTTCTTTGTTTAACAGCTGCGCATGAGAGGACACATGAATATGGATACGACTATAACAAAGAATCTTATTCTCAAGAGAATGAAACATGTTCTGAAAGCATAAGAGGATTTTGACGTGTATACTTGTTATATTCACTGATTCTGCTGTGTGATTTTGGGTTCAATCCTCGGACACGCCATTTATGGCCCTACTATACGAAATGAATTAAACCAAGAAATAATAAAATGAAGTAAAGCAGAAATAAAATGGTTGAATGAAATTATGAGGAAATTCAATGTCACGGTCAACGCCCACCTGCATCACTATGACAACCTATTACCTTGCCTAGCAACAGCCCAAGTGTCTCTAGCACAGCCACCTTAACATTCCAGCTAAATCGGTCACCAAGGATACGGATGAGAGGACCAGTGATGTTGACTACAGAAGGTTTGAGAGCAGCCGCACTGGTCAGTTTGATGACTTCACCCAGTCCGTTGGCTGCTTTTTCCTTCAGGTCTGGGGTTCCTGTGAGTATGCCTTCGCGGAACACGGGCAGAATACACTTGATACCCTGACAACGAACAAGAAATGATAAAGGTATTTATTAGCAACACCCCCTACCCCTTACCCCCACCACACCCAATATGCCTTCACGGAACACGGGTAGAATACACTTCATACCCTGACAATAAACAAGAAATGACACCAGTGAAATATACATTTAATAAAAACACTCTCTCTTATCCCCCACCACGCCCAATATAAATGCCATGACGTTATGATTGAAGTGTTACGGAAATCAAGGGTGGTGTAGTCGTAGTTCACTCGCCTCTCGCCTCGGGTCTCGGGTCTCGGGTCTCGGGTCTCGGGTCTCGGGTCTCGGGTTCGATCCCTAGACTCGGTATCACACTATTTTAGTAAACGTTTTTTAAGTTTCTCCCTTGATTTGAGAGTTTTCTCCAGGTTCTCCGCTTTTCCTGTTTTGTGAGTTAGCCGTGCCCTTGCATTAATCAGCCCTGAGTTTGTTTCATGCAGGGTATAGATAATACAAACAAAGATATAGTAGAACTAATAGTATCATCTACCTTGCCTGGAAGACAAAATCCTGGTAATTCTCCATCTCTGACCTCATCGCGTACATAACTGATAGCTTGAAGTAATGGGTCGATGTATTGAAGCTGTTCGGTTGGCTGGAGGCCCTGGACGAGATACGAACAAATCATTAGAAAAGGATAGGCTGACCAAATAGAAGTTACATCATACATAGATAAAGTCTCTTAATGAACAGGAGAGCAAGCTAGCAAACTGTTGGCATTATAAAAAAACAAATGGTCAGATGGGCGTTCAGAATGACGAGAAAACAATTGTACATTGAAAGACGGGAGAGAGAGAGTAGGCAAGCTGCAGAAGGAGGGAGAAAAAATGGAAAAGAACAAACGAATAAGAGAAAAATACATGAAGTGAAAGAGAAAACATTCAAAATGGAGGAACGACTGCAATGCAATAAATAAGGTATTTGTCATACTTTTTAATAACTTAATAATAATTATTATAATAAAATGATGATGATGATGATGATGACGGTGATGATGGATGTGATGATGGTAATGATAATGGTGATGATGATGATGATTATGACGATACATGATGATGTTGATGATAGTGATAATGATAATGATGGTGATGAGGATGATGATGATGATACATGTAGTGATAATGATAATGATGATGGTGATGATGACAGTGATGATGATGATGATGATAATGATGGTGATGAAAGTGATGATGATGATGGTGATGATGATGATGATAATAATAATATTAATAATAATAATTGATAACTAAGTGTTACCTCAATAATAGCTCTCAAGGTTTCCCAACTGTTGACTACAACATCAACATCCTCATCGTTCAGTAGATGTACGATATGACGAAACAAAGTGCCGATGAATGGTGAGTAATCTGCTTTGGTTTTGCTACAGAACTTGTACAGAAGTATAACGGCAGCCTTGAAAAACACAGACATAAGAATATCAACGGKTTTTTTTTCCATTTCAGAGGCTTTTAGATATGTTAGAGCAGTGGCCATAGCTGTGGAAACAGGTTGATTCAATAACGCGTCCTCCGGTTAGTTCATAGTGTGTCACTAATTGTTTACCGTTAAAGCAACTTTTATTTATACGACTACTTCTTCATATCTTCATCACCCTTGACAACCACTAAATCCTCAATATTCATGTTATCTTTCCTTACCTTCGTCAAGCCTGGGTTCTTGCTCTTTGTTGCTTCAAGTAGCTCTTCGATGACTATTTTCACACCATCATCGCTCTCAACGGACAAAACAAGCTTCTCAGCTCCATCGAGTTCCTTAAACGACAAATAAATAAACCTGTYGTTCAACAATACTCAGTAGAGTACGAATACCGCCCTGACGGCATCGACAAAATACTGCAGACCCGAAAAAATATCCACTCGTACATGCAGAAATATGGTATAATGAGGTTTTATGACGGCCATTTTTAAAGTTTTTTTTTGTTTTTTTGTTGTTTTTGCATGAAAAGAGATTGCATTTCCCAAAGGAGAAAAAAAGGAGCAGGACCCCTAGACCCCCTGCGGCACGTCGGAATGCAGCTCAATTTAGAGGACATTACGATAGGTTTCCCATTCTCTAGAGATTGAAATTCTTTGGTTTTGTTCTCCAAATTCAGTTGGTTTGACGTCACATGCAAGGGGTATATAGGAGAGATGACAATAGAGCGAGAAAGAGCTTCAACAAACCTCTTGTGCATTTCCAGCAGCCATTGATTCTTGTATTGAGTAGAGAAGTGCAGGTAATATTTTAACGAGGTGTCTGACTAGAGCATCACCAGCCACTGACGATAAGATGGCTAAAGCACGGGCGTTAACTGGAGGAGCAATCAGCTACAAGCACGGATAAAATAAACAATAGTTAAATACAGAACATCACCAGCCCAATGACGATAATATGCCTAAAGCACAGGCGTTAACTGCATGAGGAGCAATCAACTACTAACACAGATAATATAGACATCAGTTAAATACTCAGACGACTGTGTGGGGGTAGGGTGGGGGTGAGTTGTCTAAATTGAAATAACCACAGGTAGCTCAGACGACAGGTCAAAGAAGGAAGTTAGGGTGCTTATCACACGAAACCTAAGACTGAAATATTTTGAAGGTCTATAGATAAAGGGTAGGCCAATGCTGAAATCACCACAGGAAACACACTACCGCAGATGACGTCATCACAGGTAGCCCAACAGTAACAAGGAAAGACTGACCACCACAGGCAGACCAACGGTGACAAGAATGACTGACCACCACAGGTAGCCCAACGGTAACAAGAATGACTGACCACCACAGGTAGTCAAACAATAACAATTGAAGGCTAAACGTTACCTTTGGTACAAGGAAGGGTAGAACAACGCGACTGTTGACTTGCATGACTTGCCTGAGTCCATCCAGAGCATATTCTGATAATAATGGATCATCCTGATCAACAACAAATAAAACACAATGTAGTCAGTTGATTATATCCATCATTCAGTCCATAAACCAATCAACAAACTAGTCAGTAAAATTGACATTCTGTAAGCCAGTCAGTCAGTCAGTCGGTCGATCTGTCAGTCAGGTTGTTAGTCAGTGAGGTTGTTAGTCTGTCGGTCAGTCAGTGAGGTTGTTAGTCTGTCAGTCAGTCAGTTGGTCGGTCAGTCGGTCGGTCAGTCGGTCGGTCAGTCGGTCGGACGGACAGTCAGTCAATTGGTCACTTTAGTGGTCAACTGTTCATATTTAGTCAGTTGGTCAGTTGGTCGTTATTTGTCCATTCAGCCAGTTAGTCGGTCATTTGGTTAGTTTGTCAGTCAGTCTGATGCAACGCATAAAACACATTACCATTTTATCGAGTAGATCAGTCAGAATCTCATCCAAAGCTTTGGCTCCAATAGTAGAGTACAAGTTGTCGAACGTCTTGGCTGCTGCTTGTCGCACCTCAGGCAGCGGGTCACACAGAGTGTGGCGAACTGTGGGAACTAATGAATCTACGTACTGGGTTACCTGTGTATAGACACACCATATTATTATCGTCGATTATTATATTTACTGTATCATCATTTGTGTAGTCATTTCATAATCTAGAAAAAAACTATTCTTTATTTCTATTTATTTCCTTCTTTTCTTTCACTCGTCTTTTCCATTCCTTTTTTCTTTTTTGAATAATTTTACACATCAATTGATGGTTTTCAACCATCCCCAAGAGAATTAAATAAAAGACACGGTGGCCATGTTGGAGGATATAACAAGAGTTGATTGACAATTCTTTTGTTAAGTTCCTCCAACATGGCCGACGTGAAAACCATCAATTTGGTTCCACCTAAATTCAATTCAATTCAATTTTATTCCATTTCTTCCTATCCCTTTTAATTCCCACCCGTTCATTTTCTTCTTTTCCCTTTCATTCCTCTTCCTTCCAGTTCCCAAGAGTCCTTACGTGTAAACTTACCTGTTCTTTGCTGATAGAGCTAATAATCTCACTCAGCCCAACACAGACACCCTGGCGTTCGTTACTCTTCTCGCTTTTCAATCCTTCTTCAAGGATGGGAATGATCTCAGGTAGCACACGCTCACCTAGTTTACGGACAAGATCTCCCAAGGTACGTGCTGCAACCTGTGAAAACCATGACGATATTTCATTTAGTATGGATGACACGCAAATAAGTCACTAAGTGAGATGGCAGAACCATTTACATTGTCAACAAAGTCAGCACCTGATATGATATTTTAAAACCCCGAGTATTGGCGCTGCCAGGACCTCATGTACAACAGACCAATGCTCAGCTACACACTGTAGGAAACAGATTTATCAGCAATCTTTTTTTATTACCTGAGTTTTATCAAAACTTTTACTTGCAAGACAGCCGAGGAGTAACGAGAAGAGAGTCGATAATATCTCGCGCAGTACTCGGGGAGTATTCGGAACAATGACCTTCCAGACGTGTAGTGCTGCTTGTCTGACCATCAGAGAGACGTCAGATCTGCCCATGTAGAGCCCAGCCAGGACACGATTACGACGCTCAACACCAAGGGCATCGATGATTTTCTGAGAATATAAACATTTTTATTTAATTTAGTAAAACAGCTCTCTATGTTATGAATTCAAGGACGCACGCATTTCATTAGAGCAGTTTTCGTATGACTGTGAAATACTCAGTGCCATAAGCGTGAGGTGCCGTGACCGTGATGCTTTCTAGAATTTTAATTGGCTGAATTTTTCACGCGCAATGTGATTGGTCTGGCATTGCCGTGACCTTGGCGTGACCGTGTCCGCGCCGTGTTTATGCCGTGTTCCGGGTATTTGATTGGATGGAGAGTAAATTCTCGTGCAATGTGATTGGTCTGGCATTGCCGTGACCTTGGCGTGACCGTGTCCGCGCCGTATTTATGCCGTGTTTCGGGTTTTGATTGGATGGAGAGTAAATTCTCGTGCAATGTGATTGGTCTGGCGTATCCATTGCCGTGTCATGGCCGTGTTCGTGAAGGGAATTTTTCACAGTCATACGAAAACTGCACTATAAGTATGAAGTGCATATGTCTATGAACACCATAAAAATATTGAAATAAGTATATATATTTATATATAAAATAATAATACTTTATAACCTGATTCGAATGTTGAGTGCCAAAATTATCATCCTCATCTCCTTCAGTACTCATCTTGCCCGTGACTCCAGATATCTTGTACAACAAATCACCCAGTAACTGAATAGAACTGTGTCTAATACGCCAGTTATCATCAAACAAGCCTCTCTCCATCTCGGGTAGAAACAACTCTATAGCTGTTTCTGCGTACATGTTGACGATGCGTTGGCCAGCACGAAGCGACGTGTCACGGACGAATTCAACCTCGTCCGCAAGTCCCTAGGGAGAGAAAAAAGATATTTAAAATAACTTCCTACAGAACATTTTTTGTGTCATGGTTATCAAGGGTGGGGTAGCGCTTCCCACCTCTGGAGTCTCGGGTTCGAGGGAGGGAGGGAGGGGAGAGAGGGACGGAGAGAGGGAAAGAGACATGACTTACCTGTATGATAGAGGAGAGAATAGGACCAGGAAGGGAGAGAGGGAGGAAGGGAGGGAGGGAGGGAGGGAGAGGGAAGAAAAGACTTACCTGTATGATAGAGGAGAGAATAGGACCAACATACTTGGTGAATTCCTCTTTAAAGGTACCAGGTAGATATATGTACAGCATGAGATATCCCTCGCGCACGTGCGGCGCCAGCTCAGTCTTTTCTGTAGTACTGATTACATCTGGCATGAGTTTGTCCAGACGGGTCTTGCCCAGGCCGTAGAGGACTTCACTGATACCTGTGCAAGGAGAGAGACAAAGAAATTAAATTGTATGGCCTGTATGGCCCTAGTATCTTTTGTGATTGGACCCGGAAATACGTCACAACTTAAAAGCCCTATTGTCTTCACATTCTCAAAGGAGTTTTAATATTTGAATATGAAAATATATTTTGAAAAGAAATGTGGCTGTACAGGTATGAAACGTGATTAGGGTTAAGGTCTAAAGAATACCTTGTGCTGCACCAGACCTATCCACGCTACTGTTCTCGGACGTCAGCGTCTCCATTAACCAAGGTAGCAAGTCTTCAAAGTGTTCTTCGCCCATTCCTTTGACTAGAGCACCTAAAGCACGGGCGGACACTGCACGTACCTATACAATATGAAACAGCCACATTAAATAAAGAAATCTTTCTTCGTGGTTGTGGAGAGAGGGGTCAATGAGTATGACCTCCCCAATTTGTTTAGGCAGAATTACAGTGCATTTTTAAAATGAGTTTAATTTCGGCTTTATTAGACTTACCTCGGGTACTGGGTCCAATAAAGACTGCTTTAAGCCAGGAACGACAGACGAGAGGTAAGGCAACAGGTCCTGGAAAAGAAGAAACACTTTTATCAGTCATTACGTCACAGTTAACGCTGTTAACACGGTACGAACATGCGTAATAGGTCATGTTCTTATATGATGTCCGAGCCCATCCCTCACGGCTTACCGCCTCCTCTCCGCTGTTAACACTGGTTAACCTGACAAAACGTCTACGTATGCTCTATGTCTGTATGCGAGTTATTTCAAAACGTATTTGTGCTATTGTAAAAATATATATAATTGACTTAACTGAATGCTAATTCTTTAATGTTGACTTTATTTTAATATTGAAATACAGTACCTTGGTCTCACATGAATGTTTTTGCATATTCGGGGGGGGAAAAGCACATTCATTTTCTCACTAAAACTTCTTGGAAAACATGCTAAAACTCACGCATGCGCAAACATCTTTCACTGGTATCACTCTCGACCCCAGAACCTTGTCATTCTTACTGCGCATGCTCAAAGAAATTTTTCTCGAGCATGCGCAGTAAGAATGACAGGTCTCTGGAATCAAGATTGGTGTCAGTTTACCTACCTTTGGGTCTGTGAGCGAGTACATATTGCCAATAATCTGCGCCGCCATCTTCTTAGTTTCGGTAGAGCGTTCATTCAATGCACGTTGAAGAACAGGCATGATAAGAGCGAGAGATGGAGCATCAATGAAGTGGACGAAAGATGTTTGTAGCAAGACCTGTAGACAGCGAGCGGTCTTGGTGGACGGGTCCATGAGTGCTTCAAGTAGAACTGATGAAATAGCTGGATAATAATAATGGAGAAACAATGATTTAGATCAAATTAAATAGAAAATTCAATAGAGCCTCCCTCAGGGAATACTCAAGTTTGGAGTTCTCTGTTGCTCAGGTTTAGACTCGACTTTGTGTAGAATATTCATGTGTTCCAGTGAGGGTCCGTGGAATTTCAAAGTGTTTGTATTGCTGAAGTTTTGCATTCTTTACTTTACCGTTGGTATATTGTTAATATTAAGACACTGATTCGAGGCTAACCCTGAGTAAATGAGTCTGTTTTCAAGGAACACAGTGGATTGTCAAGTGGCTGCTAAATAAAACAGAGATTGGCCGCTTATGATTGGTTAATAGAGGTTCAACTATTATAACAATAAACCATTTTTACAGAAGGCGCAACAGTCGCATGTAATAAACTTATATGGCCCTCTACATTTAACTCCCTAAACGAGAAGAGCCCGCTATTTCACGTGGTCATCGTATACAAAATGGCAATGGTCTAACCATTGGAAGCTAGGTTTAGAGCAAGGCAGCACCTTCTACTCGAATATTTAGACCCTGAGCAATGGTTCAGCCGCCGAGCCTTAAACCCACGACCTCCCGCACAATAGACCATCGTCCTATTGATTCAAACCATTTGCGAGGGAAGAAAAACCCTAACTACAAAACTCTTTCAAATCATCTTACCTTGAATTTCGGGGTTCCTTATGACGGCGCCAATTTGCCTGAGGGCCTGGGCACCAGACTTTTGTACCTTCTGATGTGAGTCTGTGAGTACCTTGCAGAGCATCGGTACGATACTAGGCAGACAAGAAGACAGCTGCTTGGGAGCACAGTACGCCATAGCACCTAGTAACTCTACACTTCCTGCAGACAATTCACAACATAAAACTATAGTAACCACGTTTGAGTGTCCTCAAAAATTCTCGTACCCAGACCCTACTCATTAGCCAAATCCTACGATTTTCAAAAAAAATGCGTAGGGTCAGGATACGAGAATGCGTCCTGTAGGTAAAGTAAAGCTATGCTCGGCTAAATGTTAGACCTTTGTCTAAAGCAATCTACGCGGGCAACAAAAGCTCAAGACATCAAAGATATAGTGCCAAATATTTCGTGCTCAAAATGGAAATAAATTTGTTGTTTCATTTATCGAAAAACTGCCAAAAGTTCTGATTCTCATCGTAAAACATCTATACTGACATGCGCAATAGCCTTAAATCCCTGCCACGAGGGAGGGGACCCCAGGAACTATCTGCGCATCACTGGGAGTATATAGTCTCCTTTACGTTAACGTCAAAGCTAAGCTTACCTGACTTGGTTCTCCAGGAATCCTCATTCAAGGCTGAGAGTAAAGAAGGAAGGACAAGCTTGACTCCATGAGCACTGAGATGTTTCATTACAGCACGGGCAGTGTCGTCAGTTGCCTGGAATAAGATAATGATGGGTTATTCAGAGAAATGTCACACCTGATGTCATTTCCTGTTTCGTGTGTCTTCAATAAGAGTTATGCTGGCTGACAGCACATGGTGGTCAGTGTTTGACCACCGTTTGGAGCAGAAAACGAGGTTTAAAGACTTTTATCAGCTGATTGAAACCCAGCAATTTTCTGGTGTTGCATTTGTCCTTAAGCATCAAATAAAAGCGTTTCCGTTTTCCCGATTTAAGAAAACTAGAAGATTCTATTTAATTAGTTCACTAACCTCTCTGACGAACTGATTGCCGTCTCCAAAGCAGAGCAGTAGGTGTGGCAACACGTGGACGACGTAAGGTTCAAAGAGTCGCCCAAGCATCGTACACAGCATCTCAAATGCAAACAGCGCACCTGATTTATATTAATAATAATAGTGTATAAACAGATAAGCAGAGCAGAGCAGTAGGCGTGGCAACACGTGGACCAGATCTTCATAATTTACAAGCTTTTAATTTACAACAACAACAACAAAAAAAACTCGAAACTCGAACACGAACTCGAAAAATATAAAATCTGCGATTTTTTTAAATCTTAAAATTGTATGAATAATGATGAGAAATAGTATGATATCACTACAGTCAGACATTCATATATAAATTCCATAAAAAGGATACCGTATAAGCGAGAAAAACAAAATATTGGCTCTCAAATGGCTTTCCAGTTTAATGACAGTGATTGGATGGCGTGCGTTTTCGTGCCTTGTGATTGGCTAAGAGTAAAGAAAACCCTTTTCAATGTTTCCCGTGCATACCAACCTTCACGGTGTCTGTAGTTCTTCTTGTTTTGTATGGCTTCTTGTAGCGTTGTCATTATGTTTAGCTGTTTGAGGTACAGGATTCCGAGTCCTTTTACGAGACCTGCTAACCCGTACGCTGCTCCTTTACGTTCACCATACGCAGTGGACTCCAATAACTACATCAAAAAATGTTAAAGAAGTAAGCACGCAGGCAGGCAAGCAGGCAGGCAAGCAGGCA